ATCCAGGGGTTTACCTAATTAATCTTTAATATTATTCAATTTAGCTTCTAGACCTAATTAAATAGTAATTAAATAGTAAAGAAAGAGGATTTTAAAGAGTAAATATACAAATACTTAATTTAAAAGGGTAAAAGCTAAATAATAGTTAATAAATCTAATAAATTACTATTAAACCTAACGTATCTCCCCCTTTAACGAAAGGAAGAGATAATAGAAATAATAAAGTTAGTTTAAAATTAAACTATAAGCACTACTTATTACGCGAAAATATACTTTATAAGCAATAACAATAAAGAATAATAGAGTAAATAACTAGTTACTAGACAAAGTAATAATATATAATAATTAATAATAGTCTTATTAAAGGAAGTTAAAGACAAGAGCTATCGCAAGCCTCAACCTGGGACCTCGTATACGATTTTACTAAGTATAAACAAAATAGACGTTAGGTTGGTATAATATTAATTAATAATCCGTTAACCTTAATAGAGGTTGACGGGACGAGTACTCTTATATAATAAACTATACGCTCTAGTAAGCAGCTGCTATAACAAGACAGAGCATCTAGGTACCTACTAAGAATGCCCTATAATATTATATAAGAAGTTTTAGTATACTAAGTAAGAGAATTTACTAGTAACGGGGGTATAGTTCCGCTAAGAATTAATTATTTTATTCTATATTATTTATCTGGAGTAAGTATATTAATAGGAGTTCTCCTTCTCTCGTAGTTAGTTTAGAAATTTCCTATTACGTTATTATATAGCGTATAGAAGGATTATTTACTAAGCCCAACGGTTGCTAGCTGAATTATTTATAAAAGTGAGTTTACTTTTGAAGTAAGTTTATATATTTATATAATAATAATTTATGCCTGTACTTATACTTACACTTATACGTATACTTATACTTATGCTTATGCTTTTTTTCTCCCTTTTTCTTCTAAGGAAAAGGAGATTTATAGAAATTTAATAAAGACCTAGAGAGATTTAGTAAAGGCCTAGAGATTATCGGAGGTTAACTATTTTAACTTATAAGTTTATTTAGTGTAATAGCTAGCCTACTAAATTTAATACAATTATATAATATCCTCCTTCTACTATTATAAATTTTTAATAAAATCCTTCTATCTTCTAAATATTTTAATAGTTACTTATATATAATAAAGGGTAGTAAGTTTATAATAAGTAAAACTAATTATAGCGGTTAGGGTAAGCGGTAAACTACTTTAATTCTATATATTTTTATTAATAGAATTATTCGTTTTAAACCTATAATTATCTTTTATAGTAAAGGGAGTTTTAGAACTATTATTGAGAAGAGAGCTCTCTACGTATAAGATATAAAAGTATAATTTAATAAAGTAGCGTATTAAAATAAAGATTTGCTATTTAATTGGTTTAATAATGAGTTTATTCCTATTGTAAGAGAATTTGTTTAAGAATTATTATTGGTTATAAATATATACTTATTTTATAATATTTAGTAAATTAGAAATAAGTTTAAGGATATAAACGTAGTACTAGCTATAATCCTTAGTAGTTTTACTAGCCTTCTTTAGCTGTTTAATACGGTTATTAATTTATTTTTTAAAAAGTTATTAAAGAAGAAGATAGAGCTAGCTGTAAAAGACTAGGAGGAGGAGTACCTAGGTAAATAATAGTCCGTCTCTAATAAGAGGATTATAGTTATTTACATAGTATTAAAGTGTTAGAATACTCTAATTACTAATAAAAAGGCTATAGTAGTAAAATCTTTTAAAGATAATAGTATATTTATTTTCCTAAATGGATTAGAAAATTACTTTATTAATATTAAAGAAATTGATTGGGCAACTATCAATTGGAGAAATTGGGAGACAATTATTAATATTACTATTAGCATTAACGACTTTGAAGCTATTCCCCTCATTGAAAATAATAGTATTGCCTTTGAGTTATAGATAGAGGAAGTTATAAGGTCTAGAGGTTATCACTAGTTCAAAAAAGATAAGTTTAAAGATTAGTATTTATAACGTTGCTTATTAGTATTAGGTAATAAATTAAATTTAATTGAAAGATTAAAAGAGTATAATGAATAATACTAGCAATAAGTAATTTAAATTATTACTTCTATTCTAGTAATTGATAATTATTATTAATAAATAAATCCTTATTAGAATTAATAAATTTGCTAGTACTTTCGATTATATTTATATAAATATAAACAATCCCTTTACCTTCTTACTACTAGCGCTCTACCTTAAGCCGGTTATTCTATTTATATTAGTACTTGCCTAATTGAATTATATAATAATAAATACTACTAATACCCTTAAATCTAACTTTAATTTCAATCTTTTTACGCCTTCTATTATAAATTTAACTATAGTAGGTTCGTTTATCTATATTTATAAGAGTAAGACCTTCTAGTACATTGGGAGACGAGGGTATTCGTAGTATAATAATATAGTCAGCGCCCTTAATAAACTATTAGGTATTAGGATAATCGTTTATAACGTCTATAAATAGGGCAAGCGAGTCAATTAAGCGAGTTAATCAAAGAGAGAGAGAGAGGGAGAGAGTTTTAATACTATAGGTTTATTTATTTATAGACGAAATATATCTTACTTAAAATTAATTTCTAATTAATTATAATTGCTATGGTTGGATTATTAGGTTTTGGTTATAGGGGATAGTTATAGGGGGGAAAGAAAAGATAAGGAAAAAAAGATAGGGCACTAGAAAGATTAAATTTACAGTACTCCGGGGTAGCAATATAACTCCCCCACTAAAATTTACTAGCATAAAATGTACAGAATCGGGCATATGTATGTCTGATTATGCCTGATTTCCTTGGAAGTTGAAAAGCTATGCCCCGAGTCTTTGCGGTACGGGTATATACCGCACTTGACTTACCTTACATCGCCTTGTTCTTACTTGCTTGAATCTGGGTTCGCCGGCTTATAACGCAAGTCCCATGTACAGGTAATCACATGCAAAGGTACTATCCTTATGCCTGTCTGTCCCAGTCCCAGTCCCAGTCCCAGTCCCAGTCCCAGTCCCCGAACCCCTCATTGTTTTGTTTTGTTTCATTGTTTGCCATGGGGGGTCAAGAGCCTCCTCGAATCTTGAACCGTTCGGCCGGCAGGCGAGCAGGGGGTTCATACTTCATTCTAAAGGGGTAGACGACAACAACAGTCAGCAAAGATTCGAAGTCCTTCATCTCGTTTATAGACGGAGGCTGCTGAATAAAGGACAAACACCGGACTGCAAAATAATGCCAGATTCTTTCTCGTTACTAAAAACAAGGTAGAAAACATTCAATTCTGTTGCCAAGTGGACAGACAGAGCTGGGTAGTTTTTCTTTTTTTCTTTTGTTTTCTTACCGAGCTCCCCCTCCTTGCCCGACTTGCACCTTTATAGGATAGACGGAAGATCACCGAAATCCGTCCCTTCGTCCCTGTCCCTGATCGATCTACAGATTCTCACACGCCTACCAGCCAGTTAACCGCCAAGCTGTAGTGTAGTATATGCCGCCTCGCGAAGATCCGTTCATTCCTGGATCTTCATTACCCGTTTTTTTCCCTGCTGGCTATGAAGCAACTCATATGCAACTGAACTTGCAACGTACATAACCCCAAATATACTTGACCTGTCAGATTCTCCCACCCCCTCCCCAAGATTCTCCAAGAGGATTGACTTTTCACCGAGCATCTCACCTTACCCTGCTCTGCCCTGCCTTACCTTGCCCTACCTACTGTACCCTGACTTGTCTTGCCCTGTCTTGTCTTGTCTTGCCTTACCGTTCGCCTGCCCTGTCTTGTCTTGCCTTGCCTCTCGCCTGTCATGCAGTCAGGTCAGGTTTCCACTGACCACTGATTAAGGACCACTAACCAAGGACCGAGGACCACGCACCGACACCACTGTCCAAGTTTCCACAGAAAGGACCAAAGACCAAAGCAAAGCAAGGCAAGGCAAGGCAAGGCAAGGCAAGACAAGGCAAGGTGAGGTAAGGCAACCTATGACAACCACCTATTCTAACCTTGGCAACTCGATAAACAAGCAAGCAAGCAAGCACCAAGAAAAAGGAAGGAAGAAGAAAAAGGAAGGAAGAAGAAAAGACTGACCTTTGACAATCTCGTATCATCAAAAGTGAAGTTGGAGAAGAAGAAAAAGTGGAAGTGGGAAAAGATGAGGCTTGAACTATGTGCTCCCTCCCTCCATTCATTCCTCTCCATCACAGCCAGCACAGCACAGCAAACTAGAAGTAGGTATTGGTACCCATCAAAACTACCGCGCGGCTCGGCGGCAACTGAGACATAGTATACTTCCGACACTGTAGGATGTTATATAGGTAATCCTGTGGAGTCCTTGGAGTCTTCTTACACAGTAGGTACCTTTTTGGAGGTGAGGTGAGGTGAGTGATGACGTTGTTGCTGGACTCCCGCTGTTCTGGAACTTACTTGTTCGGATCCGCAGTTCCGATTTCCGAACGGGACGGGAGGGCAACGGGCAATGGGCAACGGCGGGGGCAACGGGCAAAACGGATAGATATATCTCCGATGTTGATCAATGTCCTGTTTACGTGGGCAAATATCCTCTGCTTCGACTTTGTCTGGCTCGTTGTTTCTTCTTCAGATTTCTTTTTCTTCGCTTGATTCAACTTCGTGATACACCTATATACTCGTCTCCTGCACTCTGCAGCCCATAGCGCTGATCCTTTTTAATAGACACTAGAATATGACATGTTTCCTCATCCGCGCTATATAAGATATAAGTCTACCGTCTCCTCGTACAAACAAGCTATCCTGCCAGTTAATACTCCACACTCGCTTGCCACCATGAGCACTTATGTGATGATGGCGATGAAAGATGTCCATCGGTAACGTTAAGGATAGAACATCTATGTTCTATCACATGTTTTCCAAAAAAAGCAAAAATCAAACAATTCCCTTCAAGTCCGTCCCTGCCTTGAAGTTGCCAAAACGTCCAGGTTCCATCTTTTGGGTTCTCCTTCCTCATGAAACCCCAATCTTATTGCCGATAGACATCCCGCATGGGAGGCCGGTCCAAGTAAACAACCTCATCATCCTCCTGGTGCTGCTGCTGCTGCTGCTGCTGAACAGGCGGCGGCCTTGCATAGTACCTCTCATCCCCATACGCACCGCCATCTCCACGCATCACCTGAGTAGGCGGCTGCTCGGGGGGAAACACACTATAAGCGCGCCCTCCCACCGGCGGCGGCGGCGGAGGCGGATGCATAACCTCTCTCCGTAACTCCTGACGTCCCTGATATTCACGACCGACCATCTCCGGCTGCACACTTCCCAGCCTTGCTCCGTAGTCGCCTCTAACCTCATACCTAGAGGCCGCGTCAAGAGGGGGCGGCCTAACGCTTGCTGAACGAATCGTGGCATATTCCCTGAGGCTTGGCTCTCCTCCCATGCGTCTTTCGTAGCCAAGAGGAGGAGCAGGAGGAGGAGGAGCCTCGTAGCGGACTGCCTCTGCCACTGGCCGGACACTAGCTGCTCTGCCGCCATAGTATTCGCGAGGGCGCTCGTCCACCGCCCGCAGGTCGTAAGCTGCAACACTCTCGTAGCGAGGGGGATCCATCGGCGGGCGGACGCTACCCGGTCTCGCAATGTAGTCCGGAGGCGTCTCGACAACAGGCCGCAGTCTGGACGGCACGTAGTCGCCGGACGGTGGGGCCATGGGGTGAGTGGAATAAGCACGCTCCCTGTACACTCTATGTTCAGGGGTAACGTACTCTGGCTGAGCAATCACACGTCGCTGAGGAGTATAACCGGGTGAAGTCGGTTCGTAAACCATTACCTCGTCATCATAGCCTTCAGGCCTCCGGGTGACAGCACGTGGAGGCGGCGGCGGCGGCGGGCGAGCATACACAATCTCGGGTCTATCTGCAACCACACTTTGGGGCCGGGGCGGCTCGATGTACTCCCGACCGAAAGCATCAACAACGATGCGAGTGGCGGGCATCCTGGGAGGAGGAGCCATTGGCTGTGCAACACGCTCGTACGCAACTGGCGATCGGGAAGAGCGCTCACGATACGCTGCGGGGCGCATGCTCATCCTTGAAGCAGCACGAACATCGCGATAATAACCATCATCTGCCGGAGGAACCTCGTAAATCACGTTCCTCGGAGCAACGCGCACCTCGCGGGGGATATAAGGGGAAGGATGCATGCCTGGCGAGCCGGGCAACCGACCACCACTGAATGGTGCTCTGGGATCATCGTAGTAGACCCTTTCATACCTGGGGGTGGCGAGCAGAGGCTCGCCCTCAAGACGAGAACGAGGGTCGATTTCCCGCTCATATCCAACAACCCGCTCCTCCCTCTGTACTCTTGGCTGCAGGCGCTCTTGGTAGGCACCCTCTACGGAACCTGGCTGTCCATACCTTGCATCATCATAGTCAGGTCCTTGGTGGTGGTGTTGTTGCTGCCCCTGTTTCTGACGCTTGGCCGGACGTGTGTACTGGGGAGCTGACATGGGAGATGGGGATCGCGGTTCAGGCTTAATGTACGGCGATGCGGCAGCGGCCTCGGCAAGTCGGTCTGCCTTTCTCTTCTTTTTCTTGTTTTTCTTCCTCTCCCCAGGCCTTTCTCCTCCGTGGGGTGAGCTTTCCGGACTAGAGACAGCTGAAGGCTGCTTCCTGAGAGCAGCAACCCCCTGGGCCGGAGGCGGAGTGGCCCGACGACCGCCCGTCTCCGATAGAGCAATCGGCTGTTCAAGAGCAGCAGTAGGCAAGGGGGAGACACGGGATGGCTGGGGTGCGAAAGGGGAAAGATTATGGGCACGAACAACTGGTGACCCCGCAGGTCCTACCGCCTGTCTCAATAGCTGCTCGTTAACTCTCGACAAGTCTCGCGAGCCACCACCACCACCCCGTTCCTTTCCTGTATGGGTCGTCGACTCTTCGGACCGACTTGCCGGGCCACTGTCACGAGAACTGACAGCTTCGGACGGGGGCAATTGGCGAGCAGCCCTGCTGACACTTGTAGCCGCGCTCGACGTGTCCGGCACGTTTACGTTGAACGGTTGGTTTGCAGGTGCTGCCGGCGCACTCGGGAGAGGAGGCTTGGGGTGGTTGGCGGCTGGGACCGCAAGGGGCTCGAGGTCTAGCTCGGGTTCGTAGGGAGAGCCATCGCGCATCTGCTCGTCTTCGGACTCGTTGGGAACGCGAGCTAGCTCGTGGTGAGAGTCGGGGGTGCCGTGTTGGCTCGAGTAAAACGTGTTGTCATCGAACGAGTCGCCCGAAGCTGAAGCGTTAGCAACAGTGTCATCAGTAGTAGTTTGAGCGGCATTTGCTTGAACCAGGATCAATGCTTTGGCCAACACATCGGCAATGTCGAAGTCAGCAGGCTGCTCGGACGGCTGCAGGGCGCCCTTATGGGACACTTTCCGCTGCTCAAAGTCTTCGCGGAGAGAACGCTCGATCCGCTGTCTTTGCAGCTGAATCTCGGCTTTGATCAAGTCCTCCGACTTCTCCAACAAGATGGGGTTGATTTCGACTTTCGGCTTGGACTGCTCGGTAGAAGAAGAGTTGGACAAGGTCCCCAAGCCAGGCAGCACGTTCCCACCCAGATTCACCGCCGGCTTCTTGAGGTTTGCCTGCTGCAAGTTATCAGTCATTGCGCGGTTCCCATTCACAGCCGGCTTTGGTCCCCCAGGCGCCTGGCCTGCCGAAGCGGTGGAAGAGGCATTGGCTGGAGGGACTGGCCCAGGGCCGCTGGTCGGGTTTCCAACATGTGTTGGCTTAATGCGCGGGTGTGTACCGCTGACCACCTCATCGCGGAAGCGCAGGATCTTTTCGTACTGCTCGAGTTCATGACGCTCTTCAGGTTTGAGCGTTGCCATCAGTGATGAGTTTGAGGAAGTCGATGCTCCCATTGTCCCTCCAAGCGGCCCTCCTCCTCTTGCGGGCATTGCAGCCACTGCCGGTCCTCCCGCCATCTGTTTTTTCTCCTTGGCCGTAGAAAGGTTGGAAGCGTTTCAAGTAGAAAGCCCAGCTCAGTACACCGAGCAATTGACCAAATGCCAACTGTATGTAATAGATAACGTAACGGTGTCTGTCTATACAGATGGCACAGCCGAATAAAAGAAGAAAAGACGAAAAGAAGAAGCAATTGATGCGCTATTCCAATCCCTATACCACGTGTTGATTAGCAGCGGTGGTGAACAAAACAATACAAATCTTCGTTGCCTGTCTACAGACCACCAGAAGACGGTGAAGTGCAGAGTTGGACGAAAGTGAAGTGTTGGTGAAGTGGAAATGGAAAAGGAAAAATGGAGTTTGAACTGAAGAAGCAGCCGAGACGAGGCAGCTCCGAGCACAATTTGGCGCCCCCCCCCCGTCACTTATGATCGGCGGCGCGCGCTGGGCCAGGCCCGCTGGCGATAACTTAAGGGCGCACGGGCCATCCTGGGTGAACCTTGGTAGCCACCATCTGACACCAGCTGTCGGATAGAAGGATACGAGACATCGGCCTGAGTCAATTGAACGATCAATGTCCGACGAGTCTGGGGAGGAGACGGAGGAACCGCATGGAAAGTCAGTCATGCTTGATGTCACACGATCAAGTATATAAAGAGGAAGAAAACTGGTTGAATTGATTCTTGGAAAAGAAGGATTTCAAACAATCATCTGTATTCAAGAAAACAATCATCTTTAGGGAGATTCAAGGACACAAACACACGGCATCCTTTTGACAGCCACGCACCGACTTACACAAATCACAACGAACTAACAGTTTGAGTTGGCACTTTCACTTCACTTCACCAACACATCCATCATCGCAATATAAACCAGACGGGAACCAACATTGCAATACCACATTTGAACTGTCCAACAATCACAAAAACAGAAAAGGACGATCAGTTCCTCATCTCCAGCAAATCCGCAGTGAATCTTGAACAACGCAAAGACTAGACTGGAGCCTAGGAACAACAGAGACGATGGCGGCCCAAGAAACAAACACCACGAACGGCACTAGCCAACCGGCGGACAACCGCGTTGTCTTTTTCTTGTAAGTTTATAAGCAGCAATCTGAACTAATCTGTGAAAATCGTTGACTAACCAGAGTCCTTTTACAGTGACATTGACAACTGTCTCTATCCCAAGAGTGAGTGAACTGAAGGAACCACCCACATATCAACCCATATCCTGATTTAAAACTCACACTTCCCGACACAACAGGCGCCAAAGTCCACGACCTAATGGCCGACCTCATTGACCAGTACTTTGCCCGCCACCTCAACCTACCGTGGGAAGACGCCGTCCGGCTGCACAAGGAGTACTACCAGAACTACGGGCTGGCCATCGAGGGACTGGTGCGGCACCACCAGATCGACCCGCTCGAGTACAACGCCAAGGTAGACGACGCGTTACCCTTGGACAACATCATCAAGCCGAGCGACGCGCTCAAGCAGCTGTTGGCGGACATTGACAAGAGCAAGGTCAAGCTGTGGCTGTTTACCAATGCGTACATCAACCACGCGAAACGGGTGGTCAAGTTGTTGGAGATTGAAGAGTTCTTTGAGGGGATCACGTACTGCGATTATAGCCAGACGCCGCTTATCTGTAAGCCGCATGAGGATATGTTTAGAAAGGCGATGCGGGAGGCGGACGTCGTGGACAGGTGGGGGGATTGTTACTTTGTTGGTGAGTACCTTACCTACCTACCTACCTACCTTGTTGTCTGAAGTGCTGTTATTTAAAGAGTAACGAGCTAACATGGTGATTAGATGACTCCTACTTGAATTGCAAAAAGGCGCAAGAGCTGGGGTGGACGACGGCGCATTTGGTAGAAGAGGGCGTGACGCCACCCAAGACGCCGGCGTCCAAGTACCAAATAAGCACTCTGCAGGAGTTGCGGACGGTATTCCCAGAGCTCTTCAAGAAGGATGAGGAATGAGGTTAGATAGGGCAGTGGTGTACGGCTTGGCACTAATAGATCATATAGGCAGAGCATGGAGTTCAACTTTGCATATAGATGGCTGCGAAACTTGTTTTGTTTCCCTTTACAGATTCTTTTCGTTGTTCCCTTTGTTTGACCCAAAATGATGTTTGTAATGTAACGCGAAGCCAAGAACCTCCTTTCCTTCTCATTGTAGTTCTCCTAAAACGCCCTAATCCCGATGCCCTCGTGTCGTCATGTGAAGAGAGCATACCCGTAGTCGCTTAACTCCCAAATGTCAAAACCTCATTACCAGCACCATACCTTTTATGCATGCTCTCAAGCCATCCCCCCTAGTCTTAACCATTCCCTCCCTAGTTTTCGTCCCCAACCAATCAATACCTTCTAATACTCCTCAACGTCTGATCCAACTTAACCAACACCTCATCCTTCTCCTTGACCGCCTCCTGCCTCTGTTTCTCCGCCACATTCAGCTCCTCCTCGAGCTCCTTGATGCTCTGCAACTGGTCCTGCTCGCTATTATCGAGGCCCGGCAAGCTCGAAATCAGGTACTCGATCTGCTGCTCTCGCGTAATCAAGTCGCGCGCAAGTTCAAGTTGCCCTGCTTGGAACACGTCCGGGGGGAGGGTGTCGACTTCGGGCGGTTGGTCGGCTTTGGAGGGCGCGATGGTGTCTTTGGGGCTGAACGTTTTGAGGTCGTGGTGTCGGTCGATGTAGAAGTAGGTGGCTATGAATTGCTCCATTAGCTGGAGGGGGTGGTGGTTAGTAGGTGATTTGGAAAATGGGGGCGTAGAGGGAGGAGGAAGAAGAAGAAGAAGAAGAAGAAGAAGAAGAAGAAGACCAACCTGGTCAACAGCCTCTTGGAGTTGCGAGAGACGGTCGCTCATTTTGGGTGGTGTTGGTCAGTAGATTCGATGCTGCGCAATTGGTAGAAGAGTATCGCAATGGTAGGTAGCGTTGGGTGTCGTGATACGATCGTGGTCGCCCAAAAACAGTGAGGAAGAAGGGAGTTGTCACTGTCACTGTCACTCAGGAACACTGAATGTTTGAACCGCGACGACCGCGACGACAGCGGATGTGCATCATAGTGCATGCAGGTGCCAGACGGGATGGATCCACTATTGACACAGTGCGACCCACTGAAGATGGAAGCTTTATCCAATGGGAGAAAGATTTTGGCGGCTGCCGATCCACCATAAAGTCCATCATCGACTTAACCACATTGAATTTCTAGTTTAACATGGTATTTCACAAGGCAACTTATGCCAGTTCAAATTACACAAATATTGTACTGACTCTGTGTCGAATCTGCATGAATATAAAACGATAGAGTTGAAGCATCAGATATTTAGTCAATTGGCTGGACAAAAGCTGTATAGCAAGAAGAAAACAGCACATATATCGAATAGCAAAGGTCAACATCACCATGAGGCCCATGGCTGCACGACTCTCCCGGCTCGGACTCGGAACGCGCCGATTATACTGCAGCCCAAGCCCTCACCCGCTCCGGTGCTTCTCTTCCGACCATGTGCCGAGTCAAAAAGATACTACCACCGAGTCCTCCGCAGTCCCTTCGCCGGTCACCACCAGCAGCAGCAGCAGCAGCATCACCAACGCCTCAGATGATGGAGGACGTACTGATGCCAACAGCCCACTCTCCAAGTCCTCCAACCACCATGACCTCCCTTCATTCCTCCAGTATGCCAAGCGCACCGGTCTTGGTCAAGAAACCACCGTCTTTGTCGGAACACACTACGAATACACGATAGCTTCCCTCTTGTCCGCGTACGGCTTCTCTCTCAACCGAGTGGGCGGGCAACATGACTTCGGGATCGATCTCCTAGGCACATGGTCCGTACCGACGGCCGAACGACCCTTGCGAGTCATTGTGCAGTGCAAGGCCATCCAAAGCACTCGTCCTCATCTGATCCGGGAGCTGGAGGGCGCATTTGTGGGAGCGCCAGTGGGATGGAGAGGGTCCGAAGTGTTTGGCGTCTTGGTGGCCTCCAAGACCGCCACAAAGGGAACCCGAGACGCGCTGGCGAGGAGCCGGTGGCCGTTGGTGTTCATCGGATGCTCTAGGGAGGGGAAAGTCGAACAGCTCTTGTGGAATCACCGCGCCGAGCAGGAGGGGCTGCAGGGGTTGGGGGTCGCAAAGCGTCATTCGCCCGAGGGTGGGGAGCAGTTGGTGTTGATGCACAAGGGGAAACACCTTCCGTTGATCAGGAGGGAAGGGTTGCCGCCGCCGGCGTCGAGCGATGTTGAGCAAGTGGAAGCCGCGCAAAGTACAGATAACAAAGATGATTCCGCCTGATGTTGATGACACACATTGAGACTGTGAGAGATACGCTGGAAAGCTCCTAGTCTTCCCAAATCGCCTGCTTGGCTCTCAAGGCCTCCTCCTCTGCCTTCTTCTTCCGCTCTCTCTCCTCCTCCTTCCTCTTGCGCTCCTTCTCGCGCAAAGCCCGGTCGTAAGCCTTTTGCTCCTCGGTCAGCTTGGGTGCCTTCAGCCCCAGAGCACCGGCAATCATCCGGCGGGCTACGGCGTCCGTCTTTTCGGGTCTCTTGTACTCTGAGGAGGAGGAAGTGTTGCTGGCGCTGCCGCCTGGCCCAGTGTAGTCGAGAAATGGTGGGATGGAAGTAGAGGTAGTCATTGATGGCTCCGGCTTTCTGTTGTTGCGTGAAGGCGGAGGAGAGGGCGCTCCCTCCTCATCATCACTGTTGTTGTCGTCTTCCCATGATTCCGGCTCCGCACCAAAGCTACGCTCACGCTCAGACTTGGGCTCGGTCTTGGCCTCGGGCTCGGACTCGGAACTGACATCTTCGTCTTCCCAACTGTCGGCAACAGGCTCTGGCTTTTTTGTCTTGGCGTTTTTTAATGACATTTTGGAGACTCCAGAGGTGATGTCGTCTGATGAAGGTGGTGCTATGTTGGGTGATGTATGACTAGCGTACTGAAGTGGTGTCAAGATGTATGTGAAAGGATGTTGTCTGATGGGTTGATGTTATACTTGTATGGCTGATGGACGAAGACTGTGGTACAAGTGAAGTGTCATTAATGTAAGTTGAAAGAGCCCGCAGTCATGACCTTGGACTTGGGCGCTTCTGATATGCGGGTTGCTGCCCTGTCTGATACTAGCGAACGTGCCTGCCGATGCCCCGCTCCGGATCGGTGCTGCTATGCTATGCTCGCCGTAAGCTCTCCCGTCCGGCAGCAGTTCCAGGCGGCGGAGTGGTGCTATGAGTTAGAGGTAACGATCTACACTATATCGCAATTGGTCAAGCGGCTTGGCGACTAGGCGCTAAACTTCACAACGGCGATGATGGAATTGACCTCAGCTCCAGTCCTGTCCCGCCGTCTGAGCTGGAGAGCGGCGGATGAGCTGTTAGTGGGCTGGAGGTACGTACCTTTTGTACCGTGACGCAACCGGGACGGTACCTAGAAGACAGTAATTCCTCCATCTTCTACCGCCGGCCGAAGACCGAGGGAGCTCGAGTCGGTCGCTGTTCGCCTTCCGCCCCGTCAAGTTGATTATTCATACACCTCATTTGTCAAGCAGTAGAGAGCGCGAGAGTCATGGGCCTTGGGTTCCTTGGAGTCGTCGTCGTCGTCGTCACACACCCTGAATAGAACCCATCTTCTTATCTTTTGACTGTATACTATTTTAACAACTGTAAACTTTTTTTTTCCCGCCGCTTCGCCGCATCTCCGTCTCCCCCGCCGCGACCTCTCCCGCCGTCCCACTCTCAACACACACCCGACCACATCCATACTCCCCTCCCCTCCCCTCCCCTACGACCGCAACTCCCGTCCATTGTCGCCTTTGGTCCGATTTCGGGTCCGCTCTCTCCTAAGAAAAGACGATAATCTTCCTCACGAATCTCGACCTCTCCGATATCCTCTTACCCAGGCCCGCTCGTCACTGCCTGTATCCACGATGCTGTCCCGACAGCGCATCCCGCGCATCCTCGCGTCGAGGACATCGCTTGCGCATTCGATTAGGTCTTTCAGCTCGCCTACTTCTTCGATACGCCCGGTCGCCGCGGCTGGGCAACATGCCGTGACCCGGCCCCGACACGAAAGACCGACGAACCTCTCGAGTTTCTCAACGTACACTGCTCTGGGGAAGAAGAACGACAAGGGCTTTTTCGACAACTCGATCGAGCCACTATCAGAGGAGGAGCGCAAAGCAAACGTTGAGCACGCCGAGGCCGAGGCAAAGGAGGCCGAGTCGAAACAGACCAAGTCCAAGTCTTCGACCTCGGATGCCCCGGCGCCGGCGCCAGGAGATGGAAAGGCTGGCGCTGCTGGCGGTTCATCTGCCGGCTCAGGCTCAGGCGCAGACGGTGGTTCCGGAGACGGTGGCAAGCGCGGCCGCAAGCCCGGTGATAAGGCATTGGCGAAGCCCGTCGTACCAGAAATCTACCCCCAGGTCATGGCGATTCCTATAGCGAAGCGACCGCTCTTCCCCGGTTTCTACAAGGCCATTACCATCAAGGACCCCAATGTCGCTGCGGCTATTACAGAAATGATCAAGCGCGGCCAGCCATATGTGGGAGCGTTCTTGTTCAAGGACGAGAACGCCGACGACGATGTGATCCGGAACCGCGACGATGTCTATGACGTCGGTGTTTTTGCGCAGATCACCAGCGCTTTCCCCATGAACAACCAGAACGGCGAGGGTGCTAGTCTCACCGCGATCCTTTACCCCCACCGGAGAATCAAACTGTCGGAGCTTATTCCTCCTGACTCGCCTGAGGCTGCCTCGATCGATGGTGCGAAGGAGGTTGCTGCTCCTGAGCCGGTGCCTGAACCGATCCCCAAGGTGACCGACGAGTCCGAGCAAAAGGGTGACGTGGTGGCGAGCTTTGAGGAAAGCGCTGTGACACCCAGGCCCGAAGCAAGCCAGAAGCCCTACGAGCCGACGTCGTTCCTTAAGAAGTATCCTGTCAGTCTTGTTAATGTAGAGAACTTGACGGAAGAACCCTACGACCCCAAGAGCCAGGTTATACGCGCCGTTACGAACGAGATCGTAAACGTCTTCAAGGAGGTCGCTAGCATGAACAGTCTCTTCCGGGATCAGATTTCCACCTTTAGCATGAGCCAATCAACCGGTAATGTCATGGCTGAGCCAGCCAAGCTTGCGGATTTTGCCGCTGCTGTCAGCGCCGGTGAGCCTGCTGAGCTTCAGGAGGTTCTTTCGAGCCTGAACGTGGAAGAAAGAATGCACAAGGCTCTTCTCGTCCTCAAGAAGGAGCACGTCAACGCCCAGCTTCAGTCCAAGATTACCAAGGACGTAGAGCAGAAGATCACCAAACGCCAGCGTGAATACTGGCTCATGGAGCAGATGAAGGGTATCAGGCGCGAGCTTGGTATCGAGTCTGACGGCAAGGACAAGCTCGTCGAAAAGTTCAAAGAGCTCGCCGACAAGCTGGCCATGCCTGAGGCCGTGCGCAAGGTGTTTGATGACGAGCTGAACAAGCTCGCCCACCTGGAGCCTGCCGCTTCCGAGTTCAATGTCACGCGCAACTACTTGGACTGGCTCACCAACATTCCTTGGGGCCAGAGCAGTGCCGAGAACTTTGACATTCTGAATGCTGTCAAGGTTCTGGATGAGGATCACTATGGTCTCAAGGACGTCAAGGATCGTATTTTGGAGTTCATTGCCGTTGGAAAGCTACGCGGCACCGTCGAGGGCAAGATTCTCTGCTTCGTCGGTCCTCCGGGTGTCGGCAAGACTTCGATTGGCAAGTCCATTGCTCGCGCACTTGGTCGCCAGTACTACCGCTTCAGTGTGGGAGGTCTTACCGACGTTGCCGAAATCAAGGGTCACCGCCGGACATACGTGGGTGCCCTTCCCGGTCGTGTCATCCAGGCCCTCAAGAAGTGCAAGACCGAGAACCCCTTGATCTTGATTGACGAAATCGACAAGATTGGCCGCGGCTACCAGGGAGATCCCTCGTCTGCACTTCTCGAGCTCTTGGACCCTGAGCAGAACGGCTCTTTCCTGGACCACTATCTGGATGTCCCTGTAGATCTGTCCAAGGTGCTTTTCGTCTGCACTGCCAACCTGACTGACACCATCCCACGGCCCCTTCTCGACCGTATGGAGGTCATCCGACTTTCCGGATACGTCGCAGATGAGAAGATGGCCATTGCCGAAAAGTACCTTGCTCCTCAGGCTCAGGAGATGGCTGGTCTCAAGGGCGTTGACGTGCAACTAACAAAGGACGCGATTGAGGAGCTCAACAAGTCCTACTGCCGCGAGTCGGGTGTCCGTAACCTCAAGAAGAAGATTGAGCAGGTATACCGCAAGTCTGCCCTGAAGATCGTTCAGGACCTCGGCGAGCAGGCCCTTCCCGAGTCTGAAGCTCTTACCGAGGAGGGTAAGGCTGCCCAGGAGGAGACGGAAAAGAAGAAGAGCGAGGAGGCCGCGTCCAGTGAGACCAGCAGCCCGAAGGCCGCCACCGAAGCTTCTGAGAAGGAGACCACGGAGAAGCCTCGGGTTGCCATGAAGATTCCTGAAGGCGTCCATGTCGTTATCAACAAGGACAACCTCAAGGACTACGTGGGACCCCCGATCTTCACTTCTGACAGGCTCTATGATGTGACACCCCCTGGTGTTACCATGGGTCTGGCCTGGACCTCCATGGGTGGCGCTGCCATGTATGTCGAGTCTATTCTCCAGAGCGCGCTGACCTCCAAGAGCGCGCCATCGCTCGAGATTACCGGCAATCTCAAGACCGTCATGAAGGAGTCCTCCGCTATCGCCTACTCGTATGCCAAGGCGGTCATGGCCAAGGACTTCCCCAAGAACCGCTTCTTCGACAAGGCCAAGATTCACGTGCACGTTCCCGAGGGCGCTGTGCAAAAGGATGGTCCTTCGGCCGGTATCACCATGACCACCTCTCTGCTGTCGCTCGCGCTCGACACTCCTATTGACCCCCAGATCGCCATGACTGGTGAGCTTACCCTAACTGGCAAGGTGCTCCGCATCGGTGGATTGAGGGAGAAGACTGTGGCGGCTAGGCGAGCTGGCTGCAAGATGGTTGTGTTCCCTGAGGACAACATGTCTGACTGGCTTGAGCTTCCTGAGGTAAGACTATACATCCTAGCCCATCAACATAACACTCATCCAGACAAGTTACTAACGCTTTTTCTTTCACCAGAACGTCAAGGAAGGTATCGAGGGCCGGCCCGTGCGTTGGTACTCTGAGGTCTTTGACCTGATCTTCCCCAAGCTCGACCGGGAGAAGGCCAACAAGAGCCGGATCATCGAGGACGACAAGTCCGAGAAGGAGGAGTCCAAGAAGAAGAACGATGACGACGAGTAAACAAAGCTGTACGGCATGGCATGTAAGAGAATGGGAATCGGCTGGCATAGGAAGCCGAGGATATCAAAGCGAAAGATAGTTGGAGAATGGCATCATCATCATCATCATTGGCGTTCAAAGGAAAGGAATGGAGTGCGGGCGGCGGTTAATAGAGAAACTAATAACCATGTGTTGATCGGAAACGCAGAGCGTCTTTTTCTTTTGGTCTTGGGAGCATATACATTTTGCACACACACACACACCTACCAAGGGGGTTCTTTCATACATAGAACATCTTCACTCTATCATGATTTATTTCAAATATCATCGGTGGCATTGTTACATGTTTTTTTTTTTTCTTTTGTTTGGGTGTGTCTCACCTTTTTTTGCTTGTACAATATTACCGACTAGTGTAGGTAGGTAAGGAAAAGCTTGATGTCCGGTGCTGGTTAGGTAGTACTTGCTCCTACCAATCCCATCTATTGCATACCTAGGTAGCTAACTGAACTTTCACATGTCCTTGGTTCGAAGCTCGAGATTGCGAAAAAAAATTATTACTTCAGGCAGGCAACTACAATTGAACCGATTTTAACCTGAACAATAGGTACCCAGCCCAGGATGCCTAATGCTACCTACTTACAGTCTCCGTCACCCCCTTCACCATACCACGAGCACGGCACGACACGACGTTGCTCAAGAAATCAAGAGATCAAAATAGACACACAAGTAGCAACAACCGGTCTGGAAGAAGCAAGAGCAGCAGATGATGATTGATGATGCATGGGATCGTCCCAATCCACTTGCGACACTACTGCTACCCTCTGCTACCGCTTGTTGCTACCCTCTCATTATATGCCGTTCAATTATCTCACGTACATACATACGTACATGCATATACATATCGAAATCGTAGTATTGGTGCCGTGGAAATCGTCTAAAAGCGCAAAGCAACCTAGTAGACTACCGAGGCCGCCGATGCGAGCCAGATACATGTGCCGACCCGTTAGCATTGCATACTTTGCACCCATCCATCCATTCTCGGGACCGAACGAGGGAGAGGTATACCTTTAATAGTAGGTAGGTACGAAAGACATCTTACATGGGTTAAGCGAACTGTATCTATGTATGTACGTAGGGGATCCTGGTGTGAGGTGGTGCTGCTTGTTGTTGTTGCTGCTGCTGCTGCTGCTGATACTGGGTGCGGGTTAGAAAAGTGATAGATTTGATGGACTTGACTTGATGCAGTGGTAGGTAAATGGTGGTGACGCTGACAGTACAGTGATGATGATGATGGACTTGACGCAGTGGTAGGTAAAGGGTGGTGACGCTGACAGTACAGTTGTTGATAGTGATAATGATGCTGACGATGCTGCTGCTGCTGCTGCTGACGATGATGGTGGTGATGATTACATGCCGGCAAGTCCGATTACTTCCATTGATTCCGACGTTCCAAAGCTACCAGCTCTCCTCGACAATCAGCACCATCGAACGTTTCCTCTCGAGATCGATAGAGGTAATCACACATTTCATCAAGATCAGGAAAGTACGTGGTTAAACAGACATGATATCCTACCTCTCCTCTCAGCAACTGTACCTATTGGTCGAATGAATGTTTGTCTGTTTGTTGATGCCCGAAACCCTGCCGCTAAAACCTACCAATAATTCACGAACCAGACAAGTTCCTGTTGGTCTCGCTGGTGGTTATTGGTCGTCGGTATCGCAACACAGGTTATCTATTTATCTCTTCATTCACAAACAGCTAGGCGCTTCGTTACGCAGTGGTAACAGTATGTATGTATTTGCCTACCTTGTCAACTGTCAACTTTCTCATTATCGACTAATCGGCCACCCGTTGTAGTTCCCGGGTCATGGACATGGAGGGTACGTTACCATGGATGCCATATCATACTTACCATACATACCTTCCCGTCCCAGACATGTAAGCAAAAGTAGATGCACCGGGACCGCTACCCATCCATACACATTTAAAGATAAAAGGAGAGGGAAGAAACGGGGCTGCACCCGAAAGAGCATTCCATTGCCACTGAATGGCTGAATCGCTGAGCGGTACCGGCAGTTGATGCAGTTCTGTGATTTGGTGTCTTGAGGTTGTCTTCGGTTGTCGCCCGCTTCCAGCCATGTAAATGTAAATGTGTGGTGTGCTCGACGTGCTTGATATGTGCCCTTACGGAGAAAAAGAAAGTAGCCAATGTGGGCTCTATCCGATGGTGCCCGGTGGGAGAGTCTAGTCCTGTCCTCGACTCCCGTTGATGAGCACCCAGGGCTGGACTGGGCTTGCCGCGACAGACAGACAGATGGACAGACAGATAGAACGTGCCAGGCCGCGACGGGAGCGGGGAGGAGGGAGGCGGTTTTAGGTTTGTGGAAATGATGTGATCTAGAAACTGTAGAATGAAAGGGCTGAAATCTGATGTCGATAGAGGTAGTTATACCTTATTTTGCAGGAATGAAAGTTCAAAGGCGGCATTTCCAGCTAACCCCTCTACTCAATTTCAGAGTACAAGTACGAAAGTAACAGTCAGGTCAACTCTAGTAGGTACTGATATCAAGAACCCAAACCCAAGCTAGGTATCTTTGCCGTTCGGGTAGTAATCCTCAACTAACTACCTCCAGATGTGACCTGTCATGTCTCACACGAAAGGATATAAGGCGGCTCTGGGCTGGGAGTGAGTGAGTGAGTGAGTGAATATGGTCTAAAAGCTGCCGGGACAAAGTCGTGGCCTGGATCGGGATGTCCTCAGGATCTTCAGTAAAAGGGTTTTGTCCGTTACCAAGTACTGACAATTTCACTCTTCACCACTTTTTGGAGAGCCCTTATCACACAAGAACATAAGAACATAGAGTGTGGGGAATGGGGGATGGGGGATGGGGGAACCTCAATGGGGAATACCCTTGGTGTAGTCAGCCAGCCTCGTCCACATGCACTACTCTCGAGAGAGCTACCCCAAGCTCTTTGAGGTTGTGCGGCTCCGCAGCCTGCCCTGTCCTTGCCCTGCTCCCGCCTTGAGGCCCACCGGCATAGACGGAAACAAAGCTGATCTTGTAGGTGCATGGTTCGGATACGGACCCGGTTGTTGAGAATGATGATGATGATGATGAGCGGGTATGGCCGTCTGAGTAGTGTAATGTGTCGGTCTGACTGACTGACTGAAACTTTGACCGCCTATATGCACCAAACTCATGCAGCGGTCATTGTTTAAGCCACCGAGGTCCTTGTTTTTGGGGGGCGTAACATAGGTAAGTCAACATGATCCAGGAGGAATCAGGATGAGGGAAGGAGTGTCGGTCTGATTCATCGCAACTCTTCTCTTACACGGCAAGGTAAGCTAGCTGGCGTTCGGGTGGGTCGGACTCTACCCTAGTTTCTCCATCATCATGATACTATTCCCAGGTCTCAGTTCATGTTGCCAACCCAAGTCTCGGCATCAGAATATCGATGGCCACAGGATGGATTCGAGTGGAGGAACGAATGAGTTGGTGAAGTGTCGCCCGCTGAAGTGTAAAAAGCGTCTGAAGCGGATCGCCAGAGCCCCTGTCGACCCGTTACCCAGAAGGGAAACAGTGCCTTGATAGGGCTGGCAACTGTCTCCACCCACCACACACACACTAACAGCTTCCCTTGCGTGTTCCCCATTTTATTTCCCTGAAGCTGGAGCTGAATTGTGGAGAATGATAGAGGAGATGTCAGCCATGAACCCCTCATTTTCTCTTTTCTCTTTTCTCTTTTCTCTCTCTCTCTGGGTTCGCTCGCTTCGCGCGTTTAGCGGTTGAACTGTACACTAACCAGTGTGTACACTACATACACTACCCCTCAGATGATTGATGATGATCACGGGTCATGGCACGGGGCCCTGTGTTTTTTTTTTGTTTATTCGAGAGTCTTATTAAGCGCTGTACTCATCCAACATCATGAACTGTTCAAAAATGAGGTCAGTCAGTCAGTTCTCTCCTCCTCAAATTGATATGTCATCCGTTATGGCCCTTATTTCAGTGTATGATATACAAAGATCGGCCAGTATACATATCAGGCACTGAGGACGACGACAACAACCACTGTCTGGCAACGCTACCCGCCGAACATGGCCCTGGAATCAAGGAAAAAGAAAAGGTTGTAACCCAAAAAAGACCCCACGCATGGCATGGCATGCATGTGTTAATTGGGAGAGTGTTCCAGGCATGCGCCGGCCTCTCACTGGCTGTCCATGCTCTCACCCATGGTTACACGTCACGGCCTCAAACTCCACTGGGAAAAATGCACCCACCCAGCCCCCCTCACCTTTTCGAGACACAGCCTCCTGCAAGTCGAACTCGGCCTGTCATCCCACTACTGCCACCCTTCCTTTTTCCAGACCTTCAGGTGTCTGCAGGAAACCCGAAAGGAAGGGCCTCACGACACGAGACCCAGAGAAGGCAAACGAGAACCAAAGGATGCCATGTACGCCTTCGAGTGTGCATAACGTGTGTGTAACATAACAGAGCGGGCAGTTGACGTTCCTGGAGACGGACGGTAGAAATAGAGATGGAACGTGGGACCTGAAGTTGGCCTCAAAAACGGCCCCCCCCCCGGACCAGGCACTCAGGCATTCCGGGGCAGGGCCAAGACAGCCCGCCGGCCAGGGGTAAAAGAAGCCTACCTACCCTACAAGGGAGGGATCCATCTCAGGTGGCTGTAGGTTCCATGTTTACTGGCGTCTATTTGCTGTGTACACATCACGATCGCTGTTCAGAGACCCCCATCCTATGGCCAATGACAGAGGGATAGGCCCTACGGTAGTGTCAGGCCAGGCACCTTGAGGGTTGCAACTAAAACCAAGTCACGGCGGTTGGGACGATCTCTGATGGAGGGTCTCATGATGAACCTAAGCTGAAAGCGTAGACGGAGCTTCAAAAGCTATCATGACTCCATCTCATCCTCCACATCACCCAACACCCCCGCAGAACACACCCTTGGAACTTTCCATGCTTTCCCAGACCACAAAATCGTATATTCCACCAACCTTTTATACTCCCAATATTGCCGTGTGAACGTGAAAGAGGCGCTTCAAGACGGCGTCTATCAACATTCATCACACAACTCACAAGCTCACGTTATCTTCAAGGCATCTTCGTGTCCTGTGTCCCGATTCACAACGCCAAACAGCAAAAGTAGCTATCCGACCCGCAACACCTTCGACACAACCCTGGTCTAATCAATTTCACCGAGGAGGAGAGGCGGGAAATCATCATCATCAACCACAAGAATTTTCCCCTCGACAGGGTCCAGCTGGGTTTCTTTGTATGGCGTCTTTGAACATCGACCACTTCACCAAGCGCCGTCATTGCTGTGGGATATACGGCGCCTAAGGGTCTTCGCGCCGGCAGTCTGCATGATTGCTTGTCTTTAATGTAAGGTTGCGCCATCTTGCTTGCTTGCTTGCATCTTCCAAGTCAGGACCCCTGAGCCAAGTGGTGAAACACAATAGTCTTTGGGTTTTTGCCTGAGAAGGCCTAGCCGATAGGCCGTTAGGTGATTGAGGCTGGTGATGCGTCAGTCCAGAAGCTGTCTTCTCGCCACCAAGTAATCTCAGGGTCGCACAAGATGCCTGGCGTGCTTTGAAGGCCTCTTCACTCTCTCTTGACTCACGGTGCTGACCATAGAATTCTGTTTAGTCTTACAGCCCCTTGGGTAAACTTACAAACCTATTTAGTCCCCCACAAGGTCTGTATGGCCCAAGTGCAACCGCAGCTTCCCTTGGCTCTACGGAACCCAGCATCAGTTTTACCACCTGCAGATGGCGATTGGCCCCCACACCACAACAACTGGTGGCAAAAAATGCATCTCTGGCGGGATCAAAAGGACGGCGGTGGTGGTCAAGGTCAAGGTGCCCATGACGCCGAGCCGGGGTTAGGATTGGGATCAGCAGGAACCGCAACGGAACCGGGATCGGGAACAGGCGGAGGAGGACATGGAGGGGAGGGAAACAGTACCACGAGTCCGGGTTCACAAACACAGCAGCACGATGACGGAGGCTCCAACAAACAAGGCACCATTCGTCGAAACTTTCGAAAGGTGATTCCCGGCCTGCCTCGAACTCAGACATTCAAGAGACAGCAATCCGAGCAGCGCGACCATCTTCAACCTGTACAACCTACCCCTGCCGAGCGCAGAGCTGCTTCAGTCGATAGACGCATGCATGCCATCAACAGTGCATCGACATCGCTGGTCGGATTGGGTGTAGGAACCGCCGCCGCCTCACTTCCCAGGAGTAGCGCGCCAAACTTCCATCATCACCACCACCATCATCACTTTGGCCGTTCTTCTCATATCTCTCAGGTCGACTCTCCTGTTCCTTCGTTACCTACGATTCCTCAAGAATATACGCCGGTAAACAGCAGTTTCCGAGGCCTAACCGGACATGAGCTAGAGCAAGAACTCGACAAGAACTACCACGACAATAGTAACCATCTGCTGCGAGCTCCTGGTCTCGCTCGTCTCCATGGGTCGGATGCCGCCATCTCGGATTGTGATGCGCACTCGATAACATCTTCTCAGTACCACAACATGATACACGATGAGTTGGAGAAGATCTGGATCCTGAATCTGTCAATGCACTTTCGCGACAAGTCCAAGAGGGAGAAGTTTTTTGTCACGTACAGACAGAACGAGTCGCTATGGCGCAGAGTGACAATATCCCTCGATTACCGTGATGCTCAGGAGGGTTCATTGGAGGAGGAGCTAGTCGACATCAAGTTCCAGCGCGATAAGAGTTCGAGGATCTACGAGGCAATTCGAGACAGTTTGGGGGACATCCAGTTCTATCCTACCGTCACGAATCTGAAGCTTCAAACCACGGACAAGAGGTTACATGTCCACGTGGTGGAAGACGTCAATGTGAGTTGTTCTGCTACCCTCGGTACGCACCAACTCATCGCCATACTAACACCACCACTAC